CAAGAATCACTAAAAGTGGATTTACCGGTAACTCCCCTCAAGACAAAACGGCGTTACCGGAAGAAAGTTCTAAACGCGATTTACGAACATTATTTTACGTATATGAAACTTTGATCCTCGTGAATGCGTGTTCCGCATCTCGAGTACGTTGGTGAGTCGTCGTGCGTGGTTAAACGCGGAGTAAACGCTCCGTATTCCGTAATCGGAGTAAAAATGGCACATGTAAAATTTACTACCTAAACATCACAACGGAAGAACGAGGCGAGAGGAAAAGACAGAAAGAGAAAGAGATAGATAGAAGAGAGAAAGAGAGACAAAGAGAAAGGAAGACAGAAAGAGAGAGAAAGGGAGATAGAGAGAGAGAGAGAGAGAGTAATTCTCCCCTGAATTTCGCACAAATCGGGATTCCAGCCCTGTTCGGAGCCCGTCGATAAACGCCTCGCGGGAGCGAGAGTTCCCGATGGAAGCAGGAAACGAGAACGTAAAGTAGACAGTCCAAGGCAGGTGAGACAGCTACGCTATACGGAGGCAGCGCTAAGAAACATCGAACAGCCAAGAAAAACCAGAAGCAGCTTGTTGTTTGCGCTCGCGATGTCGGTGTACGTGTTCCAGGTGTCTGTGTACACGTGTGAGGGTGTGTATGTGCGGGTGTATGCATGTATGATATGGCGTGGAAATGTGGCGGGTACGCGAATCGTTCGCGCGGCGTACACCGCCGGACGAGGTGGAGAGAGTGGCGGTCGAGAACATCCATTCAGACGGAACATCTAGAGGGAAGCCAGGCTCTGCGATCGCGAGACGTCGTCACGGCCGCGGCACGGTCCAACTTCCGACTTCCGACGCCGACGTCGCGGGAAAGTGGCCCTTCCCCCCGCGCCTCTCCGGGGAAAAAAGAAAAAAAAGAGAGAGAGAAAAAAAAACAGACAGAACGTTCGCTCGCGGATGACGACGCTCTCGATCCATCTCGAACGAAACACCAGAGGAACAGAAAACTGGGAAACAGAGAGACAGAGACAGAGAGAGAGAGAGAGAGGGGCGGAAAATAAAGAGAGGAAGAATAAAGAAAACAGAGAAAGAGTGACAGCCATCTCACCGCCCGCGCCACAGCTCAAAGCACTCACTAAACGTCACGGGAGAGCACGGACAGGGAGGAACTGCCGATTGGTGGTGGTGGTGATGGTGGTGATGGTTGGTCAGTGTCGGTCAATTGTTGGCTGTCTACGTTCAACGGGGCAAGAGTTTCTATATAGGCCTGGGACGTGCTTTTCGATAACCTACAAAGAGCACTGGCTCCTCTGCCCCTGCGTGTCGTCGCGGTACACGACGGTCGCCCGCGTAGCGGCCCGGACCCGACGTACGCCGTGGTGCCACCTGACAGACTCCGGGAAATTCGAGAAAACGGCATTTCCTTCGGCCCATGCGCGAGAACTTTAATCGAATTTCGGCGTTGCAGCGCCGCCGACAACGGCGGGGGGCGGCCTCGCTCCGCTGCACGTGATCGACTCCGGGGATCGCGAGGAAATTTGAATTTTGCCGCGCGCGCGCGCGCGCGACCGCCGGCTTCCCCGATTTCCTTTTTCCCCCGGTTCATTTTTTTACCCGCGCTACGGTAATCGTAATGATCGCTACGGTTCCTCCATTCGGTTCTCGCGCGTCCTCGCGATTCTCGCCCTTTCTCCCGATAATCTCTCCTCCGGGATAAACGCTCGATCGTCTCGCATGTAATAATTAAGCAGGGAAGCGTTAGAAAGAAGAGCATGGAAATCGCCGCTGCTTTTTCCCCTTTTTTCACGCTTGTCGCGATAATGTTAAAAGCATAATTGTAGTTTACTAATTGTAGTTTACTAATTGTTACAGGCTATAAAATTACAAGCTGTTACAGAATGTTTAAATTATCTCTCGCAGAAATCTGCGCACCGCAATTTACTCGCCTAATGGCGGATAAGCGCGACAAATTTTTGAATATTTTAAGAGGAGGCATTGAGAAACTCGTACGGTGGATTGACGAATTTATGAAAGTAAAATCGAAACGTTCAATCGACAATGCTCGAGATTGGAACGGTACGATTAAAGCGGATGCGTTAATCAGGGAGATTTGTACGAAATCACCTTTTGTACATACGTCAATTAAGAGAACGACACACATTGTTGCAACTTGTTTGCTGATTTTACAATAAAAATACAAATATTTCTGTTACTCACCTCTCGCCTCGCGCGACCCCGTTCTCAAACTTTTGCGCGCTATCCGGTACACGCTCCACATTTACTACACGGGGCGTTAGGACGCGTTGACACATAAATTAACGCCCGACGACTGTGAGTTAAGTGAGCGGAACCGGTTTTTTGTGTGGCCATTTGCGCGAGAGGTTGCCCGCGGAAGCGGACGAGTGGCGCCATCCCGCGACGCGCCGCGGAACCATCCTACGCGCCTCTCGCGCGCTAAGCAAAACGCGAATTAATTCGATCCTCTTTCGCGATCTTCCATAAAATCATTACTTTGCGTTCCTAGAGATCTTTTCAGAACTAATTGTAAGTTGTTAATCGTCCCGAATCGAAAGAGTCCAGAGACAAGTCCAAAAATGCAGCGCGAATGCCGTGAATCGACCGTTCGGCGGAGACGACACTGCACAGACGCGGATGGGAGAGAAATATCGCGTTCTTTCTCTAATTCTCTTTCTCTCTTTATGTCTTTGTCCTGGTTTTATTATCGGAGCACTATCGGCATGGAAAAAACCTGCTTTATCGTGACTGACCGTCGACTTGCACGGACACGGACTCATTGATAGAATGGACATAATAGTGCAGGAAATAGGTTCGTTCGGTCTGTTTTATTTATCTGAACTTCTTGCGCAGTTTATCCTGTCTTTTTCTCTCTTCAACGTGAAAAGAAAAAGAAAATAGACGAACCGTGCAAAAAGTTTAGCTAAAAAAGAAGTCGCGCCGTAAAAGGAACAGACTTCTCAGCCCTCGCCGTAGCTGATTGGTCACCCCGAGTATGACGCGACGCGTCACACTCGGCTCGACCAATGAACTATTGTATTACTGATTATGAACTATTGTATAATTAGAGTACTCAAAATGTGAGTTGGTATCTATAATTAACTATAAAAAAATTTTTTCTATAGTTTTCGAAGTGATCAGCAATATGAGCTATTTTGTACGTATATATTATACATATAATTAAGAGGTAACATATATATATATAATATATATATATATATATAATTAGGAGATAATACTCCTTTCCTTGATCATTGAAGACACATCCGTGTGTTAATTGCTAATAGAGATAAGTTAAGTGACTCCATACACACACACACACACGCACATACACACACTCGCGCGCACATTTGTATATTTATATAGAATTAATTTCTACGATAAAAAAACTTGTTTAAGGTGATTGGGCCATGTACCATATGAGTCAATATAAAGGTTAAATTTTATTTTAAGAAAAACCATTTTTATGGATATATTCTAGACACTTGTATAATTACTGGTTTTATAATGTAACTTTTCATTCGATTACGTATCAATTTATCTACTGATAAATGTAAACAGTTCAAGATTTGACTTCAGTTGACATTCGTACAAGAGAAATGTCGCGACATTGCATCTCTTCGCTGTAGGCAGCTGTCATGCCAGTGCCATCTGTTTGAGTGAGGTTATGTATTGTGTTTATGTTGAAAAATAATGGAAGGTAACAAACAATTTCGATAACGGGAGATTTGCTTGCAAAAGAATAGACGTAAAATCTTCTCAAAATTGCAAATTTAAGCGTATTTAGGTTTTTTTTATAACATATTTAATTCGGATTTTTTTCTTTGACATGCTCTGATGGCCCAATCACCTTAATGATTCCACTGTTGCCTTAATAAAAGTATGATACTTTTCAAATACTTTTGATTTATTTTATTCTACATTTAAGTTTCCTTCTCTTTAAGTTCTACATTAAAGTGACACATTGGTGTTTTAACTATAATTTTATATGTAATTTATTGTTGATTATACTTTGTTGAGAAAGTAAAAATTAATTTACGTATATAATGAGTTGAATTATACGTAACTAAATATAAATGTATATAGAACACACAGTTCACAAACTGTTTCTAGAAGACTGTTAGGATGATGGAATTTTTTATTACTTTACGGTGGAGCTTGTGGAAAAAAAATGGAGTGATCGAACCCGACAGAGCCATAATCTCTATAAAAAAAAACAACTGAATTTATGTATATTTTTTTAGATAAATTGTTTCTTATAAATTCTCTATACATATAAATATTAGATAGTTTGTTAGAATAGAATTTATTACTTCAGCATTAAGATAGTTTATTAAAAAGTAAGTGTTTTATATTTTATGTTGTTTATATATTTTAAAATCTGTAAGAATAAAATGTGATTTCTTTGACAGAATTATGTCAAATGGTCAACTCATAATCAGCAGATTCCGAATTCAACTCCGATCTTCATTCTCATACATATGCATTCTCATGCATTTAATATTATATATCATGTTTTCTTCTTCAATACCGCAATTGGATATTTTGTCTTAATTTTTTAAATAGAATAGTGTCTTTTTGGAATGCGTTAACTTCGTCTAGTCTTTTATGTATTATAAACATTCGATTTTTTAAATCCTTAATGAAACTTTTTAATCAGAATTGCACTTTCCAGATCCCCGAGCTAATATCTTTTCGTTCAGGTCCATTTGGGTATATTTTGCATTAACTCGGTTATTTTATTTTTATTACGACTAGGAATCTTCGAAGAATCAACGCCAAGAGATACAGAAACAGTCCGCTGACTATCAAACGAATAAAGGAGACGATCCGACGCAGGAAGGAGTAACTTTGGGCACGGAATATTCGACAGAACATTCGAACATTATTATTAAAGAGGAATACCTGCCAGATTTAAATTTGGATGTGTATTCTTTGAACCAAGAGAAACAGACCGCTAGCTATCAAATGAATAAAGGAGACG